AACTTTAAATAATCACAATTATGAAATATACATGTGAATCAGTATCCTAAGCAAGCAGTTTAACAGCTGGAAGTAGTATATTACTTATCAACAATACTTTGTTAATAATATTAATTAGAAAAAGAGTCTAATACTTAATTGCCAATATTGAACAAGCTTTGAAAAAAAAATGTATACATTATTTTTATGTGGATACTGACATAACATCCAAGTGATTCACATGTGTATTTCATAACTGTGATTGTTTAAAGTTTGTTTTATATATATTGTAAAATTGATGTATGTATCAGCTTGACAAAGACCTTTTGGGGTCAAAACGTTGCTGTTGTGGTTCTCAATAAAGTGCCTGTCTTGAACCAAGGAGTGCCTGGACACCTATTATTTTACTAATGTTTGGAAATCTGATGTTTGATTCCGGTTCATCAAGCACCCTGGCTCAGATTTGTTGGAGTGAGTGCAGTTCCATACATACTATTCAATCTCTGTCAGCAGGGCTTACACCAGCAGGTGCTCATTTTTGCTTGGCCCATTTTTTTCGTGCTATAGGCTTAGTGAAGACAGGAGCTCTCACTCCATATGTCCACTGTGAGTCGGTAACGCCACCATAAAGACACTTATTGACCACCATATTATGGAAACATTTTAGTAAAGCAAATAGCTAGACAAAGATTAATCTGGCGTTGTTGCTGTTACAATAGGGATGATCTACTTGGCATTGGTCAGAAGATTTGATAATATGTATCCACTATTTTGTAGACTCTCTGGCAGGTTTGCTATGTTTGTGTGGAGGATGAAGCATTTTATTCTCTGTTATCATTTGATGTATACAATAACTCTATGGTCCTATAACTATATGTCTCTGGATGTTTATTGCCATAGCCATGAGTTCCCGTGGAGTAGAGGATGTAAGGTTGCCAAATGTTTTCCCACAAAGACTGCAGCAGAACTCTCCACCTTGTAATGTTCATGATATCCTCTTGAGATGGTGATTGCACCTTGTCCACTACCTCCCCTGGGTTTGCAAACTTGTGCTGATGAAATATGTGTCTTTAGCAGAACCAGGGAACTTGCTGGTCTATCGTGTACAGCAGGTATGGGAGCTGCCAGGAAGCCCAGGGATATGTTTAGCACAAGAAAATAAATGTAACATTTTAAAGAATACCTAGTTATTTCTATGCCATCTACTAGTGTACATACCTTTTCTATAGTATTAACAAATGCATTTTAGAACCTTTTGAATGTATATCTATTTCATTCCTCCTTCTGTCTGTTTATATGCTGAATATATATATATCTGTTTATATACCGACCACTGCAAGAACATTTCTTTGTTAGTATCGGTTTTCTTAGTTCGTATGAAGGGTAAGTCTGAGAATTCTTAATGCAGACTTGAGATGATTTGGTGGCTCATCATGTTTTATTTTATGTATTTGTTAACCTGTGTATATCTTCACTCAATCCTAGCATAATATTGCAACACCATTGTTATCCCAGATCCATTTGTTCCCTACCCCAACCCAGTCTAATTTCTCTCACCAATTTCTGTGCCAGTCTGATTGGCCCCATCCTCTGCCATTCTCATTTTTTTTCACAAATCCTACTCGGACCTTTTGCCTTAAACTGCCTATTGATTTCAATCACCAGCTCAACGCCACCCACTTAGTTTATTTTAATTCCCTTTCTGTTAATTTAAAGGTGGATTTACTAGTTTCCAGAAAAGCAACAACAAAAAAAATCAGTTGGTTGGAAGTCAGAAAATAATGATCCTAGTAGTTACTATCGGGACTCACAGGCTGAACATAACTCACTACTTTCCACGGCTGTTACATCTGCAATAAGAAAAAAATAGTTTGCCATTATAATTCTGTCAACTTTGTAAAAAATAAAACACGTTTGGCGTTTCTGAAACACTGGTATACATTGGAGGCATGTCCACAGGGACCATAGGGCAGTGCCCCACCAGGTGATTGTAGATATAATTTTTTTTTAAAAAGTATTGTCATTGGATTGTCATTGGTAAAAGAGTTAATTACTGACATAGTTTACCTTTGGGAAAGGGTAAACTTGCAAACTTCCATATCCAAATGTCAGCATACACAGCTGGGCATGTGTAGAGATTAGGCAATGTTTTAAATTTGTCCAATCAAAGAGCACTTCAGACATGCTCCGTGTAATACCCGCAGGGTGTCTGAGTTGATGATAGTTAAAAAAAAGTTTTAAAATCTCATTGAAAACCATTGCTTCCAAAGTATGTAAAGTTTTTAGTTTAATTCCCATGGGAGGGTTGTTCTGTTCATTCTGTGGACACCAATTTCAGAGGTTGTGATTCAATCCCTACATTGTGATTAATTATTTCACTCGCTATGTTTCTACAAGCGTCATGTAGTTATCAAATTTGCATTATCTTAATATATTTAATGAGGTAAATGCCCTTACTGAAACTTGTTGAGTTTATTGAGTTTATCTGGAGTGAACATGCAAGACTGAATAGGTTTATTACCTTGCGTGTTAATCCATGTAAAGTAATACATTCTGCATGTAATACCTAAAAATGTTTCAGGAAGGAATGGAAAGCGAGCCACTTAAACACCAGACTACAGAGATACACCTGTACATGGAGAGCTCATGTATGTATACTATATACACTATATGTGTCTGCTGTTAATGTGTTATCCAATAGGAATACTGTGCTCTTTCTAGAAACGTCCCCCTCATGTCAACTCTGTGTATGGAGAAAATGTTTTTCATACACCTCAGCACTGTGTGCTTTCTGGAAATGTTTCTCCCTGACTCACCACATTACGTGTGTCTGTTAAAAACAACCCCACATTTCAGGGGACAGTTCCATTTTTGAATTGTCCTGTATCCACCAGTCTTCTTTTTAAACTGGATTTTTTCTGTGTTAACAATGGTAATAACCTTGGATTTTAGCATACTTTATTGTGTAATAGTGTAATTTATTATCCCAAGCAATTTCCTTCATGCTGATATATAATAATAATAATTATATATTTAATCATTTCAATGCCGGGGCGGGGGTGTGCCACTTGCATTTCTTTGTGATTTGTTGGTCATATTTCCTGATGTCAAAGGGTTAAACTAATGAAATAATGTTTGTTTTTTTTAATTTATTTTTTTGATAGTTATTTAATATTTCATAAGTCTAATATATTTGGATATGGGATTTCCAAAGAGAGGGGTGGAGTCAAATTAAGTGGGTGGAGGCTGATGTCCCACCATCTTAAAACGTCATCAGCTGCCACTGCCAAACAATAGGCCATCACTCTCACAATGTTTTTATAAAAAGCATGGGGCCATTATTAACCAGAGGAGATCCAGAAAATTGCCTCCCCTCTTCCTCCACCATATGTTTACCAAGTAGGTAGCTAATTAATGGCCCATCTCCTTCCTCCACTGGTTGAGTGGTTGGTGATGTATATAAATGAACTAGTTAGTTCTCAAGAACTTAGTCCAATTATAAATGGACCAGGAGCTGTCCACTTCCCTGGTTTAATATTACTTCCAACCCCTAATTAGAGTGAAGGGTTATCTAATCACCTGGTCAGTATTAATTCCTATCTCAACGTGGTGGCTAAAGTCCTCCAAGACCCTAGTCTAGTATGAGGGTCTTATAACCTGTGTCAAAGCCCATGGGATTTGGTATACACTATATGTATTTTCCATCTGCAGAAGCTTGCCTTACAGTATAGTATTGGAATGAGTACATACGTAGCACAAGCCTAGAGGCAACAATTGGCAATGGTCTCTCTAATATAACCACTTCTTATCTAGAGTTGGGCCTGGAGAGCCTCCAGTGAGATTGCCAACTTCCCTATTTGGTCTGCAACTGCTGGTGGCACAATTGAGAGTTCTGATTTAATATTTGTTTACTTTATTACTGTATTATTTTTTATTTATTTTTTACTTTTTTGAATTGCTTTGGTGGGGTCAGGGAGCATTTGATCATTGTATGCCTACATACACATGAAACAAAATGTCAATTCAATGTAAGACTTTACATGAATAATCATGGCTATATAAATACATAGATATACAATATCCTCCAAATACAGAAGTACAAAATGTATTCAGTAACTCAAGGACGAGAAAAAAGTAACTGAAAGAATATAGAATAGTTTAACTACATATAATGACCTTTTTTTTTAAAAGTAACTAAGGCAAAACTTGTATGTGTCCTTGTGAATTCTGAAAGAAACATCTGTCAATACTGACATAGCTGGGGAGGAGATAGAGGAATGAGAAATGGTATGAATTGCAAACATTTCAATCCTGTGATTAGAGTTACTCATTGCAATGACTCGCTGCCATTTTAACCTTATTGATCAAACTGCCTGAATGCCTTAGAAGTAATAAAGAAATCTTAATTGCAGCCATGACATAGTCTCACTGTGTCGATGTCAACAAGTGAGCCTTATCTTTTGTACTGCACCAAAAGCATAGACATTGCTAAGAATACAAATTAAGTCTAGATGATAAGCCCACAACAGTGGTCATTTATCTTGGAGATACTTTTGATTATTCCTGCTACAACAGGGTGCTGGTTTTGACTCAATACAGAGATTTCGATATGTTTTCATCTTGTTTATCACACTTTTGTTTTAGAATAAGTAAACAGCTATCACACTCCTAATCTTGGATTTTTACAGGACATGACTATAGGTTCATCTTGCTTACATGCGAATTTAATCATGTTTTTATCTAAATAAAATTTTAAATTAGAAGAAGGCAGGTTCCAACTTCCAAGACCCCACGTTCTGTGCAGAGAAGATAAACAAAATGTTCAAATTTACAGCGTAACCCAACTCACTCTAATTTTAGTATGTTAGATGTCTACTGAACCAGATATGCTTTAAGTTCCACTAGTTTTACTTACTTGGTTTCAGTGAAATTCTGTATATGAACAAACAATAAAATATACTTGGTAATGAAGGCTAAACATCTTCCCATCAGGGGCGGACTGAGAACCCTCAGGGCCCCAGGGCAAAATAAATCAAGGGCCCCCTTACAGGCCCCACCCATACTCTGCAGCAAGTGCCACCCTTGTCCCGCCTCCAGCCACACCCTACACAATCTTTAGACACAAGGAACAAAAGGGCAATAAGCCCTTCGAGGCCCCAGTAGAGACTACAATTGAGGGCTAATGGGCCATGGAGGGGGGTCTTTCTAGCGGAGGCTATCTCAGTGTCCTTTAGAGAGTGTGTTAGAAAGAATCCCCTCCAAGCCCCATTAGAGACTACAATGGAGTCTAATAGACTTGGAAGGGGGTCTTTCTAACAGAGGCCATCTCAGCGTCCATTAGATATCCCCTGCTGGAAACAGTCGCCTCCAGGCCCCAGTAGAGACTACAATTGAGGGCTAATGGGCCATGGAGGGGATTTCTAGCATAGGCTATCTCAGTGTCCTTTAGAGAGTGTGTTAGAAAGAATCTCCTCCAGGCCCCATTAGAGACTACAGTGGAGTCTAATGGGGCCTGGAGGGTGGTCTCTCCAACACTCTGGTTCCTATTCACAATATAGCAACACAACATAGCTCGCTGATACCTAGGCCAAGTTGGCTCCTCTTACCTTAATTACTGTTGCTGGCTGGCAGTCTGTGGGCTTGCTTGCTGCGGCTGGCAGGCTGTGGGCTTGCTGGCTACTGCCGGCAGGCTGTGGGCTTGCTGACTGCGGCTGGCAGGCTGTGGGCTTGCTGACTGCGGCTGGCAGGCTGTGGCTTGCTGGCTGCGACTGGCAGGCTGTGGGCTTGCTGGCTGTAAGCCTGTGGCTTGCTGTAGGCCTGTGGGCTGGCTACTGGCCTGTGGGCTGGCTAACTGGCTGGCTACTGGCCAGGCTGGCTACTGGCCAGCCTGTGGGTTGGCTGGCTGGCTACTGGGGCACTTGTAGATTATTTAAAGAAATAATCCATGCACAATAACCACTACTGCTCCAGAGTAAGTAGTCAAACCATTTAAGAACAGTTTGACAAAACTGTGAAAGGTTCAGTGTGTGTGTGGGGGTGTAGTGTGTGAATGTGTAGCGTGTGTGGGCTGTGTATGTGTGTGGCAATGTTAGTATGGGGGGCTGTGTATGGGGGTCTGTGTGTATATGGGTGGGCAGTGTATGTGTGTGTGTGAGGCAATGTGTGTAAATGTGTATGGTGTGTATGGGGGCAGTGTGTGAATGTGTATGGTGTGTGTGTGGGGGCAGTGTGTTTATGGGGCTAGAGTTCACTCTCACCACTGCGACCACCAGGAATCCCTGGGGGTCACAGTGTTGAGAGTGAACACTAGACCGTAGCTCTGGGGCTAGAGTTGACTCTTGCAAGAGCGGTAACGTTGCCATGGTAATTTCGCGGCAAAGCTCTGTGCTCGTGCAAGAAGGACCCAGAGGAGCTGCAGGGTGAGCTCCCAGGTCCTCTCTTCCTTCCTCCCTCGCCCGCACGGTGCCTGTGGACAGGGGAGGGGGGTAATTGCCCCGTTGCCCCCCTGGATCCACCAGTGATATATACAGCCCTTCTGTGAGCATTTTTGTCTCCCCCCGTCCCTCTGTATGTTTCTTTCTCCCCCCTCCTTCCCAGTCTCTCTTCCACTGTTTTTCTCCCCCCTTTCCCTGTCTCTCTCTCCCCCACATCTCTCTTCCTCTCTGTCTCTTTCTCCCCCTCCCCATCTCTTTCTCCCTGTGTCTCATTCTTCCCTCTCTGTCTCTTTCTCCCCCTCCCCATCTCTCTATTCCCCCTCTTTCTCACCCTGTGTCTCATTCTTCCCTCTCTGTCTCTTTCTCCCCCTCCCCATCTCTCTATTTCCCCTCTTTCTCCCCGTGTCTCATTCTTCCCTCTTTCTCCCCCTCCCCATCTCTCTGTTCCCCTCTCTCCCCTCCCATATCTCTGTTCCCCCTCTTTCTCACCTGCCCATATCTCTGTTCCCCCTCTTTCTCTCCCCATCTCTCCCCCCCCTTTTCTCCCCATCTCTCTGTTTCCCCTTTTTCTCCCCCTCCCCATATCTCTGTTTCCCCTCCCCATATCTCTGTTGCCCTCTTTCTCCCCCCTCCCATATCTGTTCCCCCCTCTATCTCCCCCTCCCCATATCTCTGTTCCCCCTCTTTCTCCCCCTCTCCCCATCTCTGTTCCCCCTTTTCTCCCCTCTCCCCATCTCTGTTCCCCCCTCTCCCCATCTCTCTGTTTCCCCCCTTTTCTCCCCCTCATATGTTCCCCCTCTTTCTCCCCCTCCCCATATCTCTGTTCCCCTCTCTTACTCCTCCCTCCCCATCTCTCTATTGCCCCCTCTTACTCAAGTCTGAGGGGGCCGGCCGCGTTTCATGCTGGAGCCGCCGGACCGGGTGGCAGCCTCGCCGATCCGGCGGCATTCCTCTCACTAACGCTGAAGGAGGTGGAGCATGTCTCTCTGTCATGCTCCCTGCGGTTCCCACAATTCCCAGCACAGGATGTGGGAACCGCAAAGGAGCATGATAGAGGGACATGCTCCTCCTCCTTCAGCGTTAGTGAGAGGAATGCCGCCGGACCGGCGAGGCTGCCACCCGGTCCGGCGGCTCCAGCATGAAACGGCCGGCCCCCTCACATTGTGCCACCGGACCGGCCACCCGGTGGCACCTTCCTCTGAAGTCCCCAGATGCCGCCCCCAATCCAGCCCTGCCTCCGGGCCCCCTGGCGGCGGGCCCCCCTCCCGGCCGGGCCCTCGGACCATGTCCGAAGTGCCCGACCGGTCAGTCCACCCCTGCTTCCCATGCATATCCCTGGCTACAATTCCCCTGTTTTGGGGAACAAATCCTTAAATAGATACGTATGGTACCATATTTAGAAAACATGGTGGAATTGTCAAACACATCAGAAAAATAAAACCAATAGATCCTGTTAGAATCCAGTCTTTTGATTTTTTTCTGTAAAGTTTAATTTGTTTGATGCCCTTATTCTGAGACTAAAGATTTGTGACCACAACTCATCTCCCTAGAAAGGGGTGGTGGTTGTGTTTGTGTTTTACATCAGAAAAGTAGGAAATAAGCATCAAAGGTGGGTGGGTGACTGATAACATTGGGATGAAGACAGAATGGTAATATAACTATGAAGCTGAGGCTTAGCTTGTCTATAATGAATGTTCTGTAATTTAAATTTGACTTAAGTACCAGTAGATATACCGAAGATATTTGAAATAAGGCCTTCCTTATAAATAAAAGCAATAGGATATTCAGCACTTGTCCTGTACTGGTATAGTACAAAGGGCAGCTAGGTCACAAATCCGTGGTCTCTCTTATCCCATAAAAAAGCAGGTAAAAACAAGAGGGAGGTGCAGCTCCTGGAATGTCCTTGGAGTGTGTGTATGTGAGTATAGAACCATAAAAAGGAGGAGAAATAGAAACTAATAGTAAAGTACATAACAAAATACAGAAATCGAGGGTAAATAAAATCATATGCACTCACATTTTATAGGAGCCTAGGTGCAGCTCCAATTTAGACACTTGGGCAGAATAATCCCTGTCTGAGTATATGGTGGAGAACAGGATCTATAGTAGGTTCTTGTGGATGTAGCTTCTCTTGTAGATATATAGGAGAATTCAGAGATATATAGTGCAATATGCCAGGCTCAATCTAAAAATATATAGCTATAAAGATGTGCACGCACGTGTTCTGGAGAATAGATAGTTGCTTCACACGTATGGCATGAAGTGGTATGATACCCCACTCTGGGGTATAGGTGCTGGTGGTCTATCCCTGATTATATAAGTAAAATAGAAAATAAAACCACAATAGTATAGACTGTAAAAAGTGAAGGATAAAATGATTAGGTAAAAACTACTCACATTTGATAGAGCAAATAGGGATTGCTCTGTCCAACAGGCTTAGGTGTATTATTCACACCAAGGATATGGATGCAGGAATCCAGTGGCAAAGAAATTCAATAAAAAAGTACTTTTATTGAAAAAAACAAAAAACGATAAAAACTAGGGGAAAGAAACAATATAAAACAATATTTAAATACATTTAACGCATTTCACCATTTAATGGCTTTCTCAAAACAATACAGATTGTGAGTACAGTAACAAACCACCAACAGCAAAAGGCCCAGTGTGAAAACAAATAGGCACGGAATATCATGATAGAAGTTCAAATGTTAATTTGTGACAAAATAAAACTGCTTTGACTTCTAAAACATTATCAGGCAGTGTAATATAGTGATTAGAATATATGCCCATACAGAAACAAAACAAAAAAATATTGTAAAAGTAACATAAACAACATAATTAACAAAAATACTATACAAAAAATACTAAATATTTTTTCATTGGGATTCAGCTTATGAATCTCTCTTGCTCTCTGAATCTACCATCTACATGTCACAGCAGACATTAATATTCATCACACCAGGTGATGCTTGTCTTTTCTAGTCTTCTACTGTTGTGTTTAAAAGTGCCTATATCCACTATAGCCTAAGTTGCAATTTCTTATCTGACAGCAGTGGAACTCCGTTTGGTCTTCTGCTGCTATAGCCTGTCCATGTCAAGGTACTACGTGTTATGCATTCATAGATGCTCTTCTGCATAGCACAACTGTAATAGATGGTTCTTTCAGTTACTGTTACCTTCTCATCATGTTTAAGAGAGAATTCCACTATTTGGACTAAATTAATGTCAGCAGTGGAAATCGTATATGTTATAAATATATACATATATGAAGAAATAAAGAGAGAGAGGCAGAGACACAAAGAGAGAGAAAAAGATAAATTCTCTTGAGTGTCCACAGTTATGGGAAAAAACATTGAACTTACCGGTATATTACTATCAAATAAATACATAACTTGTCAAATAAATGCATAACTTGTCAAATTCAAATCCCCCTTCCTTAGAAAGCACAAACTTAAGAGTCCTTAAGAAACATAATAACACATTCAAAGGCCACAAGACTATAATGATGTGCTTTGCCATTTGGTATTTTGAAAACAGACCTTAACATTAATATTTCTAGAAACCATTCAATTTTCTGGCATATAAAATACATTTTCAGCTGGATAATTTTTACAACTAAAAACATTACATTATAAGAAAATGCAATATTCAAGTAACTTTGGAATTAATTGTAATATTCTTTTAAGTATAAGGATAAAATAAGTCAACCATGTGATTTGTCAAGCTATTTTTTGTTGGTTAAAATGTTCCATATAAATAATAATATAGAGAACAGTTTCTATGGCAATTTGAATCATTTTTAGTAAGGACCTCATGCTTTCGTTCAAATTATAGAATCTCAGAACATTTAGAACTCCCACACTAAAACTCAAAGAGCAACCTTGGAAAATCAGCCCCAAACAATGTTCTTAATCTTCTAGATACATTTAGTTCAATGTGATATGTATTTTTATTCACAAGAAAAAAAAATATCCTTCAAAACAAAAAAAGAATAACTATAATGCATTTTTACATAGACATGTTACCTGAATTCATAATAACACAAATAAAATAGGTTTCTTTCTTTAGCTCAATTTATCCCAGCGAGAAAGAAATGTGTTCTAGGCCAAGGTTCTTCAACTTTAGCCTTACTGTTGTTAGCTGTTGGACAGAACAATATAACCAAGGTGATTGTAGCAAAAGTAACATATAGTGAATTGCTATTTCTAGATCATAATACAAAAGATTAAGTTTTGAGGACACTCACTAGACCATGATTCATTAAAGGAACATAAAATATCTGCTTCTTCACTTCACAGTAGTTTCAGATGGGTGGTATGTCGCCAACAAACGTGAAAAATATCATATAGAGTTTTAATCACAAAGCAGTGAATTGTTGGGAACGTGCAGGCAAATTGCAATTTTTAGGCAAAAATAGCTGAGTTTTTCTTTTTTGGTATTCAGATGTAAATCTTTATATTCCACATGAAGCCCCAACAATTCACAATTTAGTCGACAACCCAACCTGGGCAAAAACATTGCCCATAATGGGCTGTTATCCTCATAATGTAGTGTACGATGTACTCAATTTAATACAAAAACACAAACAGAAATACACTATCTTTCTATCTATCTATCTATCTATCTATCTATCTATCTATCTATCTATCTATCTGTCTATTTATCTATCTATTTACCTACCTATCTGTCATGCCAAAAGCATGAGTAGGTGTTTGATGTGTGTTTATATATGTTAAGAGTTGTTTTTTTGTAAACCTTGGGATGACATTTATTGTGGTCTTTGATCTTGCACCAGGCCTAGACCATAAAACATCTAGATAGCCATCACCAGAGCTGGACACAAGGAATTTCATAGAGTGGGCAATAGACTGCCAGACCAGCCCCCTCTGATCCCCCCCAGGGGTCTGCCCACTGAGAAACAACTAGTTTAGATATATGAGGGTGTTGGACTATCCAGGGAGGTCAGTTATTCATTTTTCTTTTGTCAGTAACTTCTAGGAGACTATACCATCTAAGACTCCCACAAGAATTCTATATGGGGTAAATATATGTAAGGAATTTCTTGTGTTTTCTCCTATTTTATTTTATGTACTGTTTTGCAATTTGTTTTCTGTATGTCATTTATTTCTGTATTTTGTACTCAGCACTGTGAATCCTTTTTGTCAGATTAAATGTTTACTTAATCAGCTTGTGTCTCTGTTCTCTATGAGCTTCACTCTCCAGAGGAAAGCTCAGGTAAACACGTTACCAAAAAGGGGTTAACTATATATGTTTTATCAGTAAAAGTAGAACTGTGATACTATAATTCTCCTGTGTGTGGGGTAACCTAAGACGCCCGGGTTTAAAAGTCTTGGTGGTGGCAGTAGTACTAAGGGGGATAGTGTAGAAGGGATTGCAGGGGTTAATTGAGTGGTTGCTGGGACTAGCAACAGGTAACCAGGGGTCTGGTGTCATTAACCCTGTCACTTCCACACTCTCCCCACTGTCTCGGCTGGGCCTATAGCCCACGCACGTGACAAACTGGCGGCAGCTAGTGGGATATATTTAGAGATTTTTAGTGCTTGCTAGATTTTACCTGTAAAGGGGGTCTTAGCACTAAAAGAAATTGCATACTTGTTTTTGTGTAATTTCCAAAGACCAAGCTCAGTGCTGATTTAAAATACATACAAAGTGCAAAACAGTTCTCCCCTCCCATCTTTTGTTTTTCTTTCTCTATCCTATTTGTGAATATGGAGGCCTATCGCAAACAATCAAAAGAGGCCTTGGAATTGTTGTGCCAAGAAAAGAATTTACCAACTTTTGGAAAAAATAAGGCACAACTTATTGCTGACCTTGTGGAGGCTGACAGCCATATTTTCCAGCCAGAGACGGACACTGAAAGGGTTACCGAGCTCCCTACTACTGCAGGAGTGTTGCTTACTGAAATGCCTGGTGGTTGTACCCCTCAAAACATTAAGGACATTTGCTCAACTGATTTATTTCGGCAACTGATGGCTGCAAATCCTCAGGAGGCCCTGCATGTGATGATCCAACAGCAGGCTGCAGAAAGGGAATCTGCAGAGAGGCTAGCCGAAAGGGAGGCACAAAGGAGACATGAGCTGGAACTTGCTAAACTGCAATTTACCCTTCAGTCCTCACTGAACAGCAATGCATCAGAGTCCAGCACACGTAGTCTCCGTAAGGATGATTTTCCTTCCCTCGAAGAAGGGACAGATTTGGATGTATTCTTAAAAAGTTTTGAGAAAGCATGCAGGCAGCATCAACTACCCTCAGACCAGTGGGGCAGATATTTAACTCCACAACTGAAAGGGAAAGCCTTGGATGTGTTTGTGTCCCTTCCCCCAGAGACTGATAACAACTATGAGGCAATCAAATCTGCATTGCAAAAACTTTTAACCTTACTCCTGAGTCTTACAGGAAAAAGTTTAGGAGTATGCAGCAATGCCCATCATCCAGCTGCATTCTATATATTGCACAATTAGAAACCACGTTCCGGCAATGGGTAACAGGAGTACAAGCTACTACCTATGAAGCCCTTAATGACTTAATGGTCCTGGAGCAGTTCTTGCAGACCCGTAGCCCTAATGTACGAGAGTGGATTTTGGAAAGAAAGCCAAAAAATGCTAGGGCTGCTGCAGAACTGGCAGATGACTATGCCGACATCCATGCACCCACATCCAGGCGTGGACTTGTGTCAGCTGCTACTTCAACCTGGAGAGAAGCTACAGTTCAAACACCACCTGTAAGATCTGCAGTGAGAACTTCACCGCCGACTGCCAGCGTAGCCGGGGCTATGTCAAGTGAGTCAGATGCCCGCCATTGTTTTCGATGCAACCAGATTGGTCATCTGAGCAGGACTTGCCCCACTAGGAATATGCCCTCACCAGTCCGTGGAGGGGCACCATCAGTATTGCTTGTGGGTGGGTCCGTGGGGAAACGAGAGGATAACCTGCAGAGTGTAATTGTGGGTGACCGAGTGACCGTGGGACTGAGAGATTCTGGAGCTTCATTCACCCTGGTGCGCCCTGAAGTGGTGAATACGGAGGACATAATCCCTGGAAGAACCATGTCCATCAAAGGAATTGGGGGTGTGCGTCCCGCTGTGCCCTTGGCACGTGTGTACCTTGATTGGGGTGCGGGCAAAGGTTTGCGGGAAGTGGGGATTTCAGAGGATATCCCTGTTAATGTTCTGTTGGGGAATGATTTGGGCAGGATGCTCTGTCACTATGCTCCAGCGGACACTGTTTGTAAGCCAGAAGGGCTGACTGCTCCACCTAAGGTATTGTGTGAAACTTTGGGAGACATTGTGAAGTGTGATTGCTGGGAGGGAGAGCAGGGTGTGGATAAATATCTACCTGTAACTGAACCAGTGATGTCTACCAAATGTGAGATAGGGGTGAGTAGTGATGTGCCTGTATCAAAATACTGTGAGGCTGAGATGTCAGAGAGTAAGGGGGAGGAGGAAGGTGAGAGCCAGGGATGTGTAAAACTAGTCGCAGTGGTAACAAGTCAACAGTGGGTCAGGGCTGCAGCAGGACAGTCTGAGGTGCTATGTAAGATTGTGAGAGGCGGGCCTGCCTTGGAGAAGAAATTATGTGAGTGTGTGCAAAATTCTGTATCTGATCAAGGGGGGTCAAATGTGTCCTGTGAAAATGAATGGGAAAAGCCTTCCAGCGAGAGGGGGCTGAATGAATATATGTGCCAATATGTGCCTGAAGCAGATGTATGTGATGTGGTGGGTGAAAATGTGAAGGGACAGCAAGGCTATGAGGGAGGGCAGAGGGTGTGTGAGCTTTACTCTGCGCCAGACTTAGCCAGTTTCCAAAGTTCTGTATGTGTGATGACCTGGAGTGAAAGTGAGGGGCCCGGACAGACTCAGCCTGTGGGTCCAAGAAGGATGGCTGCAGGGAAACATACTGCTGGAGGAACCAGGAACCTTGTCAGTTTATCACAACTCACGCACACACCTAAGCAACTTTCTGATTGTGAACCAAAGGTTCAGAGTCTGATAGTGCAACAAGCCCAGCAGACAGACCGTAAAATAAAAGAGATGATGGGTGTTGATACAGCACATCTATCCTGGGAGTGTTCTCTGTCTGCTTTTTTGTGTGCTTACCGGGGAGTGCTACAGAAATCCATTGGTTTCTTCCCCTTACAGCTACTACATGAGCGCAGTGGGTGTGGTTTAAGGGATGTTACCAGAGATCGGTGGGAAATTGAAACAGGCAAATCAGGCATGTTTGAGGATGTAGCTGTGGTATGGACTGATCACAACCTGCTGCAGGTGACAGGTAACACTGATAAACTGCTCCATTGGAGCCCTATCCTCCAACAGTATAATTTCACTGTCCAACACAAAAAGGGCAGCTTGCATGGGAATGCAGATGGCCTGTCTCGGCAACTAGAGGGTTAATGGTAGACAGATAAATCAGCCTGTGGCTGAATTTTTCTGTCCACCATCTTAAGGGGGAGGTGTCATGCCAAAAGCATGAGTTGGTGTTTGATGTGTGTTTATATATGTTAAGAGTTGTTTTTTGTAAACCTTGGGATGACATTTATTGTGGTCTTTGATCTTGCACCAGGCCTAGACCATAAAACATCTAGATAGCCATCACCAGAGCTGGACACAAGGAATTTCATAGAGTGGGCAATAGACTGCCAGACCAGCCCCCTCTGATCCCCCCCAGGGGTCTGCCCACTGAGAAACAACTAGTTTAGATATATGAGGGTGTTGGACTATCCAGGGGAGTCAGTTATTCATTTTTCTTTTTGTCAGTAACTTCTAGGAGACCTATACCATCTAAGACTCCCACAAGAATTCTATATGGGGTAAATATATGTAAGGAATTTCTTGTGTTTTCTCCTATTTTATTTTATGTACTGTTTTGCAATTTGTTTTCTGTATGTCATTTATTTCTGTATTTTGTACTCAGCACTGTGAATCCTTTTTGTCAGATTAAATGTTTACTTAATCAGCTTGAGTCTCTGTTCTCTATGAGCTTCACTCTCCAGAGGAAAGCTCAGGTAAACACGTTACCAAAAGGGGTTAACTATATATGTTTTATCAGTAAAAGTAGAACTGTGATACTATAATTCTCCTGTGTGTGGGGTAACCTAAGACGCCCGGGTTTAAAAGTCTTGGTGGTGGCAGTAGTACTAAGGGAATAGTGTAGAAGGGATTGCAGGGGTTAATTGAGTGGTTGCTGGGACTAGCAACAGGTAACCAGGGGTCTGGTGTCATTAACCCTGTCACTTCCACACTCTCCCCACTGTCTCGGCTGGGCCTATAGCCCACGCACGTGACACTATCTATCTATCTATCGATTTAAAAGTGACGTAATGCGGGTCTCGCTGCGCCGCTTCCATGTATGGATATGGGACAGCTGTACATAACACTCCACTCACGATAGCAATATACGATTGGCTCATCCAATCAACACTTCATGCAGGAAATGTAATCATGGACATGATGAGAACAGTTTATCGAAAAAGCCGTGGATCCCTGCGAAACGCGTCTCGGTTGCTGAGGGAACTTGTGGACATTATTTATTTATTATGGTATTTGGCCTGTTTTTATTCTTTGCTATTTGATTTAACTGTATTTAAAAAAAAAAAAAACACATTTGGCCTTACTACCAGATCACTGGGTTTATGTGAGTGTACCAAACTCAATTCACTCTGTTTTTTGCATGTATACGAGTGAAGTTTGAGGAGTCTTCACTCGTGTAGTTGCTACTACTTTTATTTACTTCTGCACTTTAAATATTATACCACCACACAGATCACTTTTTGTATTTCCCTGGTGAGTCAGAGGGAAAGCAAAGTAGTGCAGTTACCTCAGGAAAAAAACTTTTTAACTTGTAGAATTGTGGGAATGGAATTGGGGCAGGACTGGATGGTGTGTCTATCTTCCAAAAAGACAAAGCATTGAAGGAAACATAATCCATGTGTGAGGTATAAAGAGGGGTTAACATATTCACTACTAAGAACTTAAAAGCTGGAATCATAGAATACTTGTGACGAGACCAATCTTGCCACTGTGCATTGGAGGAGCCTGGTTGCCCGTCTGCTGCCTTTAGACTATGGCCCCATGTTGAAACGCTTGATTTTCCCCTGCAAAGACACAAAAGCCGGGTCATTCAGTGCTTGCTCTGTTTGAGCGGTGATACCCCAGATAGCTATGCCATGGAGTCCATTCGTATAATGAAAGACTATGGGAAAGACTTTGGCTCCATGGCAATTGAACTGTATGTGTGTGGTCTGAGTGCCATTCAGTAATAATGTGTGCTCAGACTTAAGCTATCTGGGGATATGTTGCATTTCTGTATTTTATGTAATTAATGTAACCTTGTATATTTTATTGTATTTTACTGTCTTTTTACTGCCATGTGCTTAATGGAGTTTTGCCTCTGTCCTTGGAGATAATTGGATTACTTCTAATTATCTCCAGGATAGAAGACTCTGTGGAACTGGTTTTGGGTAGAAAAGCCATGCTTCCTTTGGTCACAACGGACTTCGATCTATCTTTTGAACCACTGGACCAATTTGTATGATTTGGCGTATGTTTGTATTTGGAGTATGCTGATTCTGAAAATGGAAGTTTATGTGAATGTGATGCATACTTTTAAAGTTATGAATAATGTGGAAAAACTGTATTTCTCTGTCTGTGATAATTATATTACCCATTGTGTAAGGTAATTGTATCACAGGCAGAGGGGAGGATTTTGTGTGGGAGTGTCTGAGTGTATTGTACGTGTTTATTGGTTGTTTTCCAAAACCCTGTGGGTGGTACTAATGTGTATATAAGAACAATAAACCCACAGCTCTGTCTGTTCCTGCTTGACCCTCAAAACAGAGCCTTGTCTTGTTATTGGGGGTATTTATTGTATGCTGTTCCAGTTCGACTGCTAGGAGTGTAAACTTATTCGTATGGTTTTTCCTATTCGGCTGTTTACAGTATTCGTATGTCTGAGAGCATTCATATGCTTCTCCGGTTTGTGAATTGGTGTCTACAGTAGCTGCCTGTGTCTCTGGAAGGGGAAGATCTACTAAACGGCGGTTTAACCCTTTTTATGCCTGGGGGTGCCGTTACAATACTTATTTAGCACCCATGCATGGGCTGTGACAAGAAAAAAAGTGCATTCATTGTTGTTTTTGGATATGTACAAAAAATTCCCCAGTTTTAATAATTTAAAATTAGAGCGAGTCTGAAATGTTAGCACTGAAATTAGAGGGGCAAAGGTTTAAAAATAATATCAGGAAGTATTACTTTACTGAGAGGGTAGTGGATGCATGGAATAGCCTTCCAGCTAAAGTGGTAGAGGTTAACACAGTAAAGGAGTTTAAGCATGCGTGGGATAGGCATAAAGCTATCCTAACTATAAGATAAGGCCAAGGACTAATGAAAGTATTTAGAAAATTGGGCAGACTAGATGGGCCAAATTGTTCTTATCTGCCGTTACACTCTATGTTTCTATGAACA